TCACCGATTGGCAGCAGCGGTGAGAGGTGGAGGGACAGACTGACAAAGCAGTCCTTCCTCCCACCTGCTGGCTAAAATTCGAGGTGTTTCTATGGGTAGGAGGGTGACGGGGCACAGGGAGGCTTCGTGCGGCTTTACCCGACACCTCGGCTGGGGCACGGCAAAGGGGACGGTGTTTGTGCCTGTTGGCAGCCGCGAGCATGTGCGGGTGAGTCAGGGCACCCACCTCCGACATCGCCGCGGGGCCGGGAGCCCTCGGGGCGAGGCTCAACGCCTGGAGAAAGGCGCAAGGCGTGGACGGGCTGCGATTCCGCTGTCTCTGCGGATTTCTGTCTGCTGGGCGCGCTGGGGGGTTTTGTGCCGCGGGGCTGTTCATCAGACAGCTCCCGCTGGCGGTGATCGACGTGTGTCCACATCGCAGCGCTCCCTCGCCGTGGATTTTTATGGAAAGCCCCTTTTCATTCAAGCATCCTCTCCACGCCGGGCCTGCAGCCGGTTTTTCTAACTCCCCCCAGAAATCAGAAATTTAACAGTGTCTTTAAAAAGTCACTACCATGTTCCAAAACGTAAAACATTTTATTAAAAAAATAATTTACTGCATCTTATATACAAACCTCAAGAATGTTCACTTATAAAATACTGACATTTAAAATTGTTGCAGAAGCTGCAGGCAGGAGGAGCAAGCTTTCCAGGCGTGCTGCGTGTGCACCCGGCTGGAACTCACCGAGGGATGTTTGGTTTTACCCCTAAACCAGCCCCGCTTGCCTCCGCAGTGTTCACAGCTCGGGGGGTCACTCATTATTGCACAAATGAGGTAAACCCACAGCCCAAGACGTGCAATAGGTTTAGGTGCTCTTAGGTAACCCATTGCTCTGCGAGCAGTTCTGTTGTGTTTCATGGCATTCTGGAAAAAAGATACAATCTAAGAAAAGGTAGGAGAGGTGAATCTGCACACCCTGTATGATTTAATACTCTGGCTTTTTTCCTCTCGGTGCCTGAGGAAGATCCTTCATCAATATTTCTAAGATTTCAAGCACAATAGACAGACCAAGACTTCACCCAGACCTAATTCCATAATGTTTGCGCTCGGAAAGCGATCCCACTGAAGACATGTTACTCAGCGTCTCTAAACACTGTGGAATCAAGCTGTTAGTTGAGGACAAACCCGATCTCTTGGGGTTAACAGCGAGATGCACATTGATTTCAACGGGTCCAAGGTTTCATTGAGTAAAAACCGGGACCGGGCTTTAACCCGACCTGCTCTGTGGTCTGTTCGCAGGCGGCTGAGCAGCTCTGGCTACACAACAGGCAAGAAACCCGTCACCCGCACACGCGCTACCTGAAACGGAGACCGGCACAGGCGGAGCAGGAGCTGCTATAGGCATCCGCTGAACCAAAGGCATTTTTTTAACCGGAGCCATTTCTCCGTGCGCTCTGCTGCAGCCTGGCTGAATCCTCTGGCCTCAGCCCTACCGAAATGTGCAGTTCCCCGCTGGCTCCAGAGTGCCTGTCTGCCTAAATCCCCGCTCCTAGATTTGCTTTGCTGCCCGGCGAGACATGGGGAGCATCCACGGCGGCCGAGCGTGGCTGCTCAGCACGCCACGCGTGCCACGGGAGCCAGCTGCCTGCTGGTTATTTCGTACAGCATTTCTGCAATGAGCTCGACGATGTCCGCGTTGCCGATGACGGGTCGGAAGAAGAGATCCGTGATGAGGGCGGGAGGGATCGATTTTAAGGTGGAGGCGATCAGCAAAATGCGGGCAAAGCGGCCCTGATCCTCGGGGTGCAGGGGCTGCAGGACCTCCTGAAGTGCTCTCTGTGCTTCCCGCTGGAGGCTTTCGATGTACAGGGAGGCCCTCAGCCCAGGGACATCTGCCGAGGGAGAGGAGGAAAAGCCGGTGATGAGGGAGGCTGGAAAACAGCCCCAGGTTTCTCCCATTCCCACCCTTCCCCATTTCTCAGACGGCATCTCCGAGGCCATGCTAATGAGGTGTACGCAGCACCACTGAGACGTAGCGATTTCAGGGTTGCTGTTTTGAGGGAGCAAAAGTAGTTAACTGGGCAAACTCATGCTTTACAAATTAAATCCCAGCGTCCTTTATTGTCTGCAGGGCAGGCGAAGGTCTCCGGCTTTTACCACTACATCTGACATCCCTCCTCCCTGCTTCCCAGTGCAATTTGTAACGATTGGTGTTAAGGATAAGGTAACCAGCCATCCCCGCTCTCACGCCTGCTGCGCTCTGAACGTCTACGACCCACGAGGTGGGTGTTCAGACACTAACGTGTGTGGGACGTGCCGGCAGGCAGAGCTGCGAGGGCTGGGCACTCACCGGGATTGAAGAGAATGGCTCCCTTCAGGTAGGCGTATTCCTTGGGGCTCAGATCCAGGCTCCAAAAGGTGTTCAGGCAGCACTGCAGGCGGCCAGCGTGGGCTGCGTCCTCTCGGGCTCCTGACATTTGCTTTGGCCATCGAGGAGGATCTTCTTGAGCATGCTGGGGGCCGGGGTCTCCATCACCTCGAAGGTCACCATCTCCTGGACCAGCCCCAGGAGGAAAAGGGGAACCCAGCAGCTGTCCAGCAGCAGGAGTTGATCCTCTCGCGGCAGCAGGTGGAAGGAAGGGAGGTTTTTCATGAAGCTGATGGTTTTTACCAGCACATTGGAGGCCGCCTGGCAGGTGACGTGGGGCGTGCGGAGGCAGACGGTCCGGCGCTGGTGGCAGAGGCAGCGCTGGTGGGCTGGCCTGCGGCTGCCCCGGCTGTGGTTGAGGTTTTGGCTGAGGAGGGAGTAGAGGATGGCAGTGTGCTTGTCTTCGCTGTGGTACTCGCACCTCTCACAGTCCATGTCCATGCCGCTGGTGGTCATAGCTGAGCCAGGCGGCCGGATCCTCGGTGAAACTCAGCTCCTGCTACAGCAGACAGGCGAGAGCCGTAAAATCCCTCCCAAACCTTCTGTCGCAGGCTGGATTCTCCCCGTCCTCCCAGCTCTGCCAGCCCACGGCTGCTCAAACCAGCTCTTATAAGGCTGGGTCACCAGTGAAACACCCCTCCACAGCCTTGACCGCTCTGTGATTAAGCGGTCCTCATTAAAAAAAAAAAAAACACACCCCATCTGTCC